CCCCTCCACCCCTCCACCTCTCCACCCCTCCACCCCTCCACCCCTCCACCCCGTGGCGGTCCAAAAAGGCTCATGCAGTCAACATTTTGGAATGCTCAGGCCCCTAAAATCCTTGTCACCCACATGACCCCAACAAACCCCCGATGCGCTCCTCATAAGCCCTCCGATAACCAAGTCAACATACCATAATCACCCCTGCACTGCAGAGGATCGTGCACTTTGACCTCAAGGCCGCCAACATCCTGGTGGGCATCAGGGACAGGGCGCCCCACGGCAAGCTCTGCGACTTTGGCCTGGCCAAGCAGCGGCGCCAGACCTACGTCACGGGTGCGCGAGCCGGTTTTGGGGGGCAATGAGGCGTCGAACGGGGTATACGGGAGGGAGGGTTGGTCCTTGGGTTAGGGATTACTTTCACAGTCGCGAGTTACACTCGCCCAGCGGATGGCAGAAGCACCCCGCACGTTCGCCGCCCTTGGTACACAAGGGGTGCTCGTCCGAGATGCCGCACCGCTTGCGCCTGACACTGCGCACGCGTGCGACCCCTCGTCGCGTGCGCGCTGTTGCAGGCGTCAACTCCCTTCGCGGCACGCTGCCTTGGATGGCGCCCGAGATCCTCAAGTCGCCGGATGCCGTGGACGAGAGGAGTGACGTCTACTCCTTTGGGGTGGTCATGTGAGCCTGCTGCGTTGCTGGGAGGCCGGGATCGGGCTGTCGATGTGCGCACGCGCGCGTGGTGCATATTGGGATGCACATAGAGTTGGCGGGATCTTTGGTGAGCGCCGCACGCCGGTCCGCTTGCACTCCATCGACAGATTATCCCAACTCCATCCCTTTTTGCGTTGCGCGAGCCCACACACACACACACACATACCTCGTCCCAACCTCGCGCCGACGTCGCCGCAGGTGGGAGCTCTGGACCGGCGCCGAGCCCTTTGCCGACCTGCCCCTCCACGCGCTACTCCACGCGCTGACTCAGCCCGACGGCCTGCAGCTGCCCCTCCCCAGCGACCGCGACTGGGCCCCCGCCTGGCCGGCCACCGAACCCGCGCCGGGCTGGGCCGCGCTCGCGCGGCGCTGCTGGGCGACCAAGGCTGGGGGGCGGCCGAGGGCAGCCGAGCTTGTGGCGGCCCTCGAAGCGATGATGGCCGAGCTGCGGCGGCGGCGCGGCACTGGGGGTGGGCCCCCGCTTGCACTGGTGGCGGGCGCTGTCCCTCCCGCGCATGGGGAAGGCGTGGGCGGCGGCGCGACGGCGGCGGGGGGCCCAGCCGAGGTCCGCGCCACGGCGCAGGCGACGGCGTGAGCGTGCTGTTTGCTGAGAGACGATGTCGATAGATTAATCCGTCCATATTCATTCCAGCCCGAATATCTGTGAGCGGGCGCCGTGCAAGGCTGCCGCGCCGCTGCTGGCGGACCTTCCTGGCGCACCCAGCGACCCACTCTGGGCCCGCTGGCAAGTCTTCGCGCTGCCCCGGCCGCTGGGCCCGTGTACTCTTTGCCGGCCACCATGCACCCCCACATGCAAATTATTCACGTCCCGACTCGGGGTTCACGGCAGCCTGCCACTGCTGCTCACCCCCTCACGCCCTCAAGCACCTGTCATACAAGCCACGCCCCGCTTATAAGCCGCGCCGGCACCCGCCCCCAAGGCTGACCCCACCCGGCTGCAGGGCTGGCGGCAGCTTGGCCGCAGGCACCTGGCAGCAAATCCACACCCCGCAGCCCCTCTGTCTGCACTCGTCCATACCCCACAACCAGCGTCTTCAAAAGTTTGCATGTATCGCTGTTTGTCCTTGGAGCCTCGCCTTCATTGTATGTCTCTGTGCCGCCGTATGAATCAGTGGTGGCCGCCCCAGCAGTCACCCTGGCAACTGACCCCGTGCTTGAAGGTTGGGAATCGCCGTGCCATCATCACATGGTGGCACCCCGGCCACTTTTGGCGCCACATGGGCGTGCGTGGGGGCGGTGACGTATCATCCAGCATAACACTTCTCTTGGGAATATCCCAGGCTCGCAGGCTGGTGGCGGCAACTGCCGCCACCTTCCGCCGGGCGTTGCCAGGCGCCAGAGCCAACCAGAACATAAACGCCGCCATCTCGTCATCTGCCCCTCGTGCCCTCGTCCCAGCGGCACGCGCCTGCTTTCATTGCATGACATATGCGTTGTCTTTTGCGCACGCCGTCCCGAGCACACCCGCGCGCCCTCTCGAAACCGCTGGCCATGATGCCCGCCCGTCGTCATGCATTTGCAAAGGATGGCACCAGCACGTGCGCCGCCCGTCGGCTGTCCGCGCGTGCTTGCTGGTAGTGTACACACGCTCCCGTCCCTCCGGCCAAGTGGACACCCTGTCCATGCCCTGGCAGGAGGGTTGGCTGCGCCGTCCGGCCTCCAGAGTTGTAATCTTATCACATTTCACAGGCGCAGGGGCTTATGTTACTGTGGAGCTCGGAGCTCACAGGCATGCTGTGGGGTTCAGCAGCAGACGGTGTGTACTATTACCAGTACGCACATCAGCATCACACAATCTCAGGCGCGAGGAAAACCTTGGACGACCGTGGCTGATGCAGCAAAGCTGGTGGGACTCGAAACCTGTAAACACCACCCTCATCTGGACCGAGCGCTCAGCTTGGATGACCCTCCTCGCTGCGCCATCCTGCTGGGAAAGGCATCTGCAGCGGGTGCCACGCTGCAAACCTGAATCCCCTTCCTATTAAGGGCACGCTGGTGGCTCTGAAAAAACTCTCAACATCTTTGCCAGGGGCCTCTCTGCCGACGTCCTCGCAGGCGGCTGTGTAGAATTGAGGCAATCAAGGAGATCGAATAACCGGCCCTGTTTGCATGGCCAGGGGCCTGCGCACGGCCTGGCCCCCTGCTGGGCAGAGGGCGGCACACCAGCGAGCTAGCGGCGCCCTGTCAAGGCGCCACCACCAGCACCTCCAGCTGCGGCAGCGCCCGCGGTATGGCCGCCTCGTCGCAGGGCCCGAGCCACCACTCCCTGGCGACATGCGTGCACAGGTGTGTACTGACAAGGGGGAAAAGGTATGCGGCTCATGGCATAAGCAGGGTCTGCCGCATCCCTTGCCGCCGCCCAGCCCAGGGCGGCGGCAGCCGGAAGCAGCATCACTGCCCGTGCAGTACGAGCACCAGGCCTGCAAATGCTCAACCAAGGTCCCAGCACCGTGTGGTGTTCATATGAGCAAACCCCCAGTCGCACTATGCCCACCCACCCCCCGCGCACCACGGCTCCCACTGTGTTCTGTCCGCCAGAGGGTCCCCTTCCTGCGCGTCGCCCCTGCGGTGGCTGTGATTCGTCGCTCAGTGCGCCCCCAGGGCGAATGCGTCTGCCGCGTGCGCGCGCCAGCTTGCGCCGCCGTGGCATGAGCAGGAGGCGAAGAGGTCAGACAGGTGCAGCTCCGTCAGCCCGCAGGCGCGCGCGGCGGCGATGACGGAGGCTGTGGTGACCTGGCGCGTTGGGTCGGTGTTTGGGACGCAACAGGGTGATGGGTGGGGTGCATTTTTGTATGAATGTGTGTGTGTGTGTATGTGTGTGTGTGTGCGTATGTGCGTGTAAGCTTGCGCGCGCTGATGTCTTGCGTGCGTGCGTGGGAGAATGAGAAAGAGCAGGGCCACACAGCGAGTGTGCCTGGTCTCAGTGGGTGCGGGGTAAGCTTGTAGAAGGGACCGACCTCTGAGCCGGGCACGCCGAGGCTGGGTGCGGCAGAGCCGGACCAAGGGTGATGCGCTGGAATCAGTGGGCTGCGCGCAGGTGCACGCGACCACAAATCGTGGCGGCGCTCAGCCACGCGCGCGGGGCTCACCTCGTACTGGTGCGCCAGCCGCAGCCGCCGCAGCCGCTGGAGCGCGCCCAGCGCCCGGACGCCGCGCCACGTCACCCCGCGGCACCCGACCAGCGACAGCGCCTCGAGCGTGGACGCATGCGGCGCGAGCAGCAGGCGCAGGGCCGTGTCGTCCAGCCCGCTTGTCACGCGCTCCAGGCTGCGGCGGGGCGGTTCGGGAGTTTGCTGTTCAGCGGGCAAGGATGCGCTTGCTTGCCCTCGATCAGCCAGGAATTCGCGGGCACGAGGCGCGCGGTGGGGGCCGTGGTGGAGGTGCTGAGGGCAGGCGCCGTGGCCGGCTGGCGCCGCGGGCACTGGGACCCGGCTTGCCATAAGAGTACCAGCCATCCAGAGAGGGCAGGCGGTGAGACAGCGCCCCTTAAATTTGGGCGTCCGGCCCACAGGTTTGGCCATAAGCTGCTTCCTTGTGTGAAAGTCAGGGAGGAGTCTTGCCAGCAGGGTGCCTTTGAAGCCTGCACTGCACGCCCACCTGAGTTCCCGCAGGCCAGTCCACAAGCACAGCGCATGCGGCAGCACCCCTGCCAGCCGCCGGCTGCCCAGGTGCGCCAGGTGCAGCGACGAGCAGCGCGTCAGCCGCAGCAGCAGCGCCGCGCGGTCCCCCTCTTGCTCCATGGTCAGGGTTGGCGACGGCGGCGGCGGCGGCGGCGGCTGCGGTGGCAGCGGCGGGACAGCGGGCGGCTGCGCGTCCGGGACAGGCG